CATGAATCCATCACATAATTTAAAGATATGTGCAAGATGGTATCTTTTGAATTCTTTTGAGTTATGGGACTTATTGTCACCAAAGATTGAGTATTCTGTATAATGATTGCAATATGTAGACAGAGACCCACAAATGCAATGCCTCTGGTAGAAAGACTAGATTTTTAAAAGAGAAGAAAAGGCAAAGTCCATGAGAGATTTTCCTTTAATTGTTCCTGGTTAGCACATATTAACACTCTATCTAGACAGTACGAAAACATGAATTCTCTGTTGTCAAAAGAAAAGTCCGCATAATTAACATTCCACTTCCAGATGTAATAATGTAGATTAAAAGTATAAGAACAAGCTGTAGCAAAAGGAAATGTAGGCTGCAAAAGGAGAGAATAATATAAACAGGATACCCAGATCATGGAATGTAGAAAGCAATATGATGAAAAGGAGCCCGTGTATTTAAACGGACAAGACCAATGAGATCTTCCAGAAGTCGGCTGAGAAGTTTCCTTTCATTTTCACTGAAATGAGAGGCTGGGAATGTTGGACATAAGAAAAACTTAGGTTTTAGTCAAATGGCTGAAAAGGCATCTGAGTGGCTCAGACTGAAACAGACTAGAAGGACCCCCTTACTTTCCTAACCCCAGTCTCTGGATTTTAGCCTCAAAAGTGATCCTTCTGATTAGCAGTTTGACCTCCTAACCAAGAATCACCCAGGGAAAATAGCCTTTCCAGGACTTAGTCAGTGGGGTAGAAAGGGTAGCTTTTGTGCAAACATAGGCCGTGACATTCTGGTCACATTGGCCTTATACCTGGTAGGGAGAAGTGGACTGTTGGCACCTGCTGGGCCAGGTGCACAGAGCTCAGGGAGGGACATCATCTGCCCTCTGCTCATTAAGTCATCCTGAGCACCTTCCTCTGTTATCCACTACCTTTTTATTCTTTAATTAAAAAATACAATTTAATTCCATTAAAATGAAGGTGAAGCCTTATCTTAGCTATTTATGGGGAACAATTAAATAAATACATTATACATGATTGGGGCTCATCAGTAGCAAGTATGGGTGTACTGAAATTCCATATAATGAGGTTTTGGGGAATATGTCTAAATCCTCAACCATCCTGCCTGTAGGTGTTGGACATAACTCCATCCATGATAATTAACCACAGCTGGGTAAAACTTCAGTTTATCAAGAACTTTCTGTCTGGCAAACATGCATAGTTAGGTTTTTTGGCTGTGTTTTGGTTCATAATGCTCAAAAAAACTCCATTGGGCAGTTGAAACTTGAGGTTCATGAGGGATAAGATACTCACCTCAGAACCCAAAGAAATGCTTTGGAGACCCCAGGTACAAACTCTGTCCATTGGATTCAAAAGCCTCAGGTCTTTCTGCTCGTGCTGTGGCCTTTCTTGTCAGTCCTTGAAGGACTCCTTGTGCACCTCCCCCCAGCCCCAAATCTGTTCCTTCCTCACATTTTAAGGTTTTAAGAGGATGGCCTGAAATTGTCAATGACTCTATTTAGAACTGTAAAAATACTCTCTTGAGGTTGGTACTGTTTTGAAATTACTACTTTAATTAATGCTCCTGATAGTACTCCTGGGGTCTTATAAAGTTCATCCATTTGCCAGAATTAACTAAGTCTCCTAGTAACGAACTGTACTCTAATTCGGGGCCCTTGGGGGCCTACTCCCGACACACAGGGTGATGCTTGGTGCCTCCCTTGCGAGAGCTGAGGAGCCTGGCTGATAGCCAGACTCTCTGGTGTCCATTATGAGAGAGCAGCTGAAGATGAGGGAGAATCTGGTTAAGTCACAATAACATAAGTTTGAGTTCTGTGAATCCTTTGGATCATGCTATGGTTTGGTTTAGACCAAATCACTTGTATGCTTATTTGTTTCAAATTTACCTTTAGTTAATACGGTGGAGATCCAAGATCATTGAAACTATGGCCTGAATTTCACCCCATTGTCCCTAAGTACCTTCTCTCCAGTTGTATGGACAGTGATCATTGATGCATTTGTTTATTCATTCAAAAAACATCAAACGCTAGTTCTAACTAAGCAGCTTCACAGGGAATAAAGGAACATGTTGAATCACAACCTATTTTACGCCATCCCCCAAACTGCACATTGTCTGCACCGTTTATTATTAGGTTAAACATATTCCTATTAAGGTGTTAAAAGTCAAAATAAAGCTGTCGTGTCATAGAAGCCAATGTTGAGGAATTAGCTAATTCATTTCCACATAAAAAGTAATCAGTCTGGCATTGCACTTTTTGTAAGTTCTGGGACATTTTGACATTTATACAATTACCACTCTACTTTAATATGGCATCTATTACACTGTAATGGGCTCGTGGCAAATAACTGTATTATGACTTCTAATGTAAAGAACAGAAACTACTAAGTAACTTTATGTTGTTACAATTCTTGATCCACATAACTAGCCATTACCAGTGAAGTTGTGGAATCTGTGGTTTTGGTCTATAATTGCATAGATTAAATAACGTTAATGTGTAATTACATGAAAATAAACCATGGAGCTTAGCTAAACTGTACTACAGTTGTTATCACTGAAAGTAAAGCAATACCAATTAAACCTTCCTTTAAAACACCACAAATTAAAATTTAACTTCTCTAGGATATAAAGTCATAGTCTAACAAAGGTAGACTGTCCCTTAGTATTTTCAGAGGTTTCATGGCATTTCCAAAGTTAAAGACATCTTTCTTCTTTTTCATTGGCATTAATTGTGGCTTATTCAAGACAGCATCAAACAGGCACCAATTAACTTCTTAAAGATAGGTATCAACAATTCAGTATTTGCAGTGTTGACAAAGGAACAAGTCATGGACTCTTGTGTGTTAAGAGAGGAAATATTTAATTTCACTGAGTGGGCAATTGGGTAAAATTTGGGGAAAGAAAGACCTGATACTAATGCTTATTCTTAAGTTATGAAATTTTGTTTATCAAAAACAGTTGGGTGTTGGCAATTTTATATCATTCAGCCTAATAAAGTAGTAGCAATTAAACTACTTTTGTAAATATCAGAGTAATAAAAATGCCCTCTTCATATATCCATTCCTCAGATATATTGACTTGATCTTCCACCAGCTGAGTGAAAACAGAGGTTATTTAATTTCTGAGCCTCAATTATCTCTTCAGGAAACTGGGAGTAATAATAGCTATCAAAAGATTGGATTAAACAAAGACAACACATTCAAAGGGCTTGATACAGTGTGTTGAATGAAATAGGCATTAATAACACACTTCCCTCTCTCACTTTCCCTTTGGGCATCTTTTATGCCACTTCCTGTGCGAATACTTGTTCAAAGAACTGATGGTTTAAATCTGTAAGGTCTAAAATATATCCCACATATGAGAATTTAATCAAACTTGTAATGTCGACACCTAGCCCTAATATATTTTCCTGAGACGAGATATATACTGTCAACAGGAGAATTTGATAACAAGTAATTTGAACTTTTAGAGGTGGTGGTTTTTTTCTTAGCAGAACCTTATATATTAAACAAAAATTATTTTCAGGGGATCAATCAAATCTTGCCTCATATACCCTGTGTCTCTAACTTAAATGTGCCTCTCCGTGACCAGGTCTCAATTCCAGATGTTCCAAGTAGCTCTTCATTTAAACTTGTCTTCTGACAGCTCCTAAACAAATATATCAAAACTTGTACAACATTTAACAAGTAGAACTTGAAGATTTTCTTTCTGTTAGACAAATAGACGCCATCTGGAAAAAATAACCCCAGGCACTTGGACGCAGGAGCATGTAGCTTATTGGCTGAACACCCAATGAATACCTTACACTACTTTCTTTGGCGCCTACCCTCTGCCTGCTCATTTCAAATCTTGCACACTTGAGCAGATGCTGGGCTGTTAGACAAGGGAATCCTTGTTAGCTGTGCACCCAAACACTAAGGAGGGCTCTCTTCATTTGAAAGATAAGCTTGCAAGAATTATCTGGACCAAAATGCTCCCTTTCATATTATGGCACCTGTTCCATAGAGGACTGGTAAATGTCAGTGTGTATTTGATATTAATTGGTAACAATGTTTCAGTTTTCCATTCTCCCTTATATTTTTCAACACTTAAACCACATTCCATTTTGAATAGGCATATCCTCATGTAATCTTTCCTTCCTTCTTTCTTTCTACCCTTCCTTCATATTTTATCTATAGCTAGTTTGTAAAAGAAAATGCTTCTGGTATATTAATGCTATTTAATTTACTGATTGGTTTTTATTCCAGAATGAATATCACAATAATGTATTATTTTGCCTTTAAAAATGGAATGAAGTCAATTTAAATGTGTGCAATGTTATTTATCAGTTTTAGGGGAAAATCAGATAAATATTAATAGAAATAATGAAAACAATCTTTATTTTTATTTTGATGATAAAATCCTCTTGGTGAAAATAGCATTTAATGGCATTTTTCTATATCAAACTTTCAGTACAACCACACTTAAGCAGATGCTTAAGTTACTTCTAGACTAAGAACTTTTCTTTTGTCAATTGTGAGCAGGTAGCTTTTCAAAAGTCAAAAGCAATTGCCCCAGAATTTCTGGAATTCGTTTTTTATTACATCCCATAATCTTAGCAGTAGGGAGTCCAATGAAACATGTTTGCTCAAACATTAATTTTATAAATTGCCTTCCTTCCCTACAATTCCCAAGAAAAAGGTATTCATCTAGATTAAAACTCTGGAAATTTTTAATAGGCCCTTTGAAATCTGTTTGAGTTCAGCTTTTTGGAAAAAATAAAGCCACCTCAAGGAAGGAGTCTTTATACCAGAAGAGGATCTGCCTTTGAGGCAATTTTCATCCATGCATAATAGTGAAATGGCAGCAGAATTATCTGAGGGTTTGAAACGTCTTCGCCAAACCCATAATGCTGCTTGTGGTAACATCTAAAGGGTCATGTGTGTTTGATACAATGATAAAGAACAAGAAGTTGATAACTTGCCACAATGTCATTCTTGTCTTTGCACAGTCCTATCCTGGTCCAAGCCTGGAAAGTGAAGACTTTAACATTCCGCCAATCACACCTCCTTCCCTCCCCGACCACTCGCTGGTGCACCTGAATGACGTGGAATCCAGTTACCATTCCCTGTGTCACCCAATGAACCATAATGGCCTGCTACCATTTCACCCACAAAACATGGAGCTCCCTGAAATCACCGTCTCCAACATGCTGGGCCAGGATGCAGGGCTGCTTTCTAACTCCATTTCTGTGGTAAGAATCTGCTTACCTGTTGGTGACTGGGAATGAGGGACACAGTGATAACAGCATTCTGAAACTGTTTTTAGCTAAGGACACTGAATTCTCCAAAAATCCTACACATTTCTAAAGCAACTTTTCATTCTGCATTTAAGTAAAGGAAAAATCAATTAGTCACTTGTAATTTATAAGCCAAGGTACTAAATAACCATTTGATACTGAATGTGCCACCTGTCCTAGACTTGGAGTGGCTTATCAGCTTTCAGTAAAAAGGAATCATAAAAGATACCACTTCTCACCTAGTGTAAGATTCCTCCCAACAAGTGAGACCCCCCCCATATTTTCCACTCTCTCATTCCACAAATTTTCATAGGAGAGCAATTTTTTTTTCTTTTTTACTTTGGAGAAATAATTCTGATGATCTGACATTTATCTCCATTAAAGTATGTCAGTTTTTTGAGTCTGTTATCACTCTGAATTGTCTAATAGTCTAAATTTCTCAAATTTAATGAAGATGTGGATCAGCAAGAATACCAGCAAAAAATCAAATTCTCAGGCCCAATCTGGGGAGTTTTTAACAAGTACTCCATACTTGAGAAACACTGGCTGATCATAAAAGCTTTCCTTCTGATTTTTATGTCATCTAAAAATTTAATAATTTCTCTGTCTATATCCCAGTAGTGAGAAAATATTTCAGTAGTACACAGTCAAAGGCAGAGCTTTTGACCATGTCATAACACTCTCTTCCTGGGTTAACACTGACTTCTAATTAGCACCCCTTGGATTTCATTGTTCTATCATTTAACAGTCCGACTAACTCTCTTGTCATTTTTGTAAGTCTCTGAATGGTACTGTGATATTCACAATGAATGAATTGATCAGCTTCCTCGTATTATGTTCCTGCTGACAAAAAACCATTTAATATTATTGCTTATTTAAATAATTTAAGACTGTATCTCTAACTTGAGTGATTTCATGGGGATGTGTTTCTGTTATTGGTGAACATAAGGGGAGATAAAGGAAAGTCAAGAGGAAACCCTAGCCTCAGTGCTGTGGCTTACAACTATAATCCTAGCACTTTGAGAGGCTGGGGCAGGAGGATTGGTTGAGCCCAGAAGTTTGAGGCTAATGTGAGCCACACAGGGAAACCTCATCACTACAAAAAAAGAAAGAAAGAAAAATTAGCCAGTCTGGTGGTGCATGCTTATAGCCCCAGCTACTTAGGATTCTAAGACAGGAAGATCACTTGAGCCCAGGAGTTTGAAGCCCAGTAAAACTTTGTGTGATGCTGGAACGCTACTGTAACTTGTGCTGTCTGATAACTATAGTCCCTGACAATTAAATGTGGCTAATGTGACTGGGGGACCCACGTTTTATTTTATTTCATTTTAATTTGCATTTAAGTAAACCACAGGCACCTAGTGGCTACTATATTGGATAGTATAGGTCTAGTTAGTGATGTTGATTCTAGCATTAAATCTATATTAAACTCATTTTTTTTTTTCCAAGCCATTGTGGTCTTAGAGAAAGTAGATTTGGAGATTAAATTTATTGTTCTGTTTCAAGGTTTGAATCTCTGGCTGGATTCCAGGAACCAGAGTTTGATACACTATAAAGTTGCAATAGGAATCTAATAAAGTTGGAAGAATCTGGAGCTATCCTTTGTCGGCTAATTCCTTTGAGAAACAAAGAGCCTCTTCATTTCTCATTCTGCTCTCACGTGACCAGAATGCCATTCCTCAGTGTGTACATTTTGACTGCTTACAGGGGTCTACATGTTAGAAAGTTCAAATGATTAATAATACACAGCCGCTGTCCTTCTGGACAGTGCAAACGTAGTTATGGAGCACTTGGAGAGAAACAGCACAGTCACAGACTAAGAGAAGGGTGACCCTGTGTTGTGCTGCCGGGAACTCAGTAGGAATCCCACACTCTGGTTTATGTATAAAACTTGGTAGAAAAGACAGGACTGCAGTCAGACCTTGAAGGACTGTTTTGATTTGGTTAAATAGAGAGGAACAAAAAAGCATTTAGAAAGAAAGAAAGAAAGAAAGAAAAGAAAGAAAAGAAAGAGCTTGTTAGCGTTCCCAAATCAGGTTGGGTATTTTAAAATGGTAGATTTGACTAAAGACTTTGTAAAACAACTAATAGACACTAACTGGTCTTGATAGCATGGATTATAAGAATTTAAAGCTGGGGAGGCTGAGGAGCAAGAATTGCTTGAGCTCAGGGGTTCAAGACTTGCCTGAGCAAGAGTGAGATTCCTGACTCCTAAAAAAATGAAAAACCCAGCGGGGCACCACAGTGAGTGCCTGTAATCCCAGGGGCTTTGGAGGCTGAGGCAGCAGGATGCCCAGAGCCCGAATCTGAGGTTGATGAGCGCTATAATGCCATTTGCACTCTACTCAGGAGCTAGCTGGCCTTGATAGGATAGATTCTAAGAAACCATTGGCAGTTTTGACTCAAAGCAAAAACATTATGAAAGCAACACTGTAGGAAAATCCTTTCAGCAGCAGAGCCCTGCCGTGGTTAGAATCCAGAGTTGCGGCGAGCTCATTTTCCCAACCCAGGTGAGAGATGATGGGAAGCTGGAGCTGTGTGATGGTAGTGAGGATAGTAGGTTTTTAAGCCATTTTTGCATCATCCTCAAATACATGTGGATCTAAAGATGAACAGCCTTTCCTATTTCCATATTTTAAATTTAAAAAGCACTAAAGGATTATTTTCTTTGAAAGAAACTTTGAATATGAAATTTTCTCATCACACTTCCTCATGAAAGCTTATTAAATCTCTTTCCTAGCAACTTTGCTCATGCCTATTATGATCACAAAATTTAGTAACTGAACTATTGACAGGTTTGGCAATTGTTGAAAGATATTTATAAATAGGGACAGTTAAGGCTATCAGTGTTCATACAGACAGGAAAATAATGGCTACAGATATCAGGATGTAAATGTTGCCCACTGGGAAATTACAGTGTTCCTTCCAAGATCATCTTTCCAGGTCACCTACAACATGAGAACAACTATAATCAAAGCTAATAGCTGTAGATTCTAAATAATGAATTTGCTGTGAATTTTGAAATCCCATGAGTGTAAGCCACTCTGGGTATGTGTTTGTATATATAATCAATTACTTCTAATTGTAATTTACAGAAGCTCTTCAATATTATGAAAGCTAAGCCTTTTGTTCTTAGAATTGTGATGGCATCTTTGTGTTAGTATTTTCACTTGATAGAACTTAAGTATTTGATTGGATCAAAGAGGTGAAAATATTTTAGTTCTTAGTTAGATAAGCATGTATATATTTTAGGTGTTCTGTGATGTTTAACATTTATGCATTATTAGATTTTACATATCTGGTACTATTTTATATACCATTTATCATATATAATATGTCATCTTTACTGAGATTATTTTAAAGATAAATGTTCTTACATCTTTGTTTCTTATCACCACTGCCAACATAGGTCATAAGTCAACTATAAGTGTTTGTACAGATGTTTAGTATACGATACATAAAATATTTAGATATTTATATAATTAAAAATCAAAATCTGAAGATATTAGCACCCCAATTTAACAAATGAAAAATGGAGGTTCATAGTGTTTAAGTGACTTTCTTAATGGCTCAGCTTATGAAAAGGCCAGCTTCCTTATCCGAAAAATAAGAATTAAAATCATCCTTACCTATGGGTTAAAGGAATATTTAAGAATTACATGCCATCTATGCACAGTGGCTCACACCTCTAATCCTAGCACTCGAGGAGGCCAAAGGGGGAGGATCACTTGAGCTCAGGAGTTCAAGATTGGCATGATTAAGACCAAGACCCCATCTCTACAAAAATAGAAAAATTAGTTGGGTATATTCCCCTGTCCCGTAGTCCCAGCTACTCAGGATCCTGAGGTGGGACAATCACTTGAGCCCTGGAGTTTGAGGTTGCTGTGAGCTATGAAGATGCCACAACACTCTATCCTAGGCTGGGCAAAAAAATGAGACCCTGCCTCAAAAAAAAAAATTATCTAGACCAGTGTCTCAGTATCTGGCACATAGGAAGCATTGTAAATGGGAGGTGTTAGGATATATGGGAGAGAAAACTTTCTGGAAGAATTATTTATCCTTTAATCCTTAATCATCTTTACTTTCTGTCACAAAAGACTGCAATAAGCCTGTTTTTACCAAGTGTGTCTTTATCATTGTGATTAAATTGATGTCTTAGGGCCAGACTGCCTCTATTTAAATCCTAGTGCTGCCACTTCCCAGCCTAGAACCTTGAGCAACTTATGTAACCCTCTTGTGCCTCAGTTTCTTTATCCATAAAATCGGTATAATAAGATTTAATTCTGTAATGTTGTGAGCATTAAACTAGTCAATTCTATAATGTTGTGAAGTAGTGCCTGGCACAAAATAGGTGCTAGATAGTCAATGAGAACCTCTTTCCCATAAAATGTTCACCAGGACAGGAAAGGATAGATGTGTATGCAGGAAATCTATATTGCCTTCTGAAGTTTACCATAGACATGCACAGGGTGCGGCATATGTAGGATGAAAGTTCTTCCTTCCCAGATTTCCCACCACTTTTTTGCATGTTCTTGCCTGGCCATTTTACCTTCATTTGGGACTCCTGCAACAACTAAGATTTCTGGCACTTTGAAAAAGATTCCATTTTCTTAATGTTCCTCTTTTCCAAGAACAGTCTATAAAACAGGGTAGAATTTCTATAAGTACTTAATTGAATAGGTGCCAATTAATTGCGATTTTCTAGTTCCAAGTTAAACAGCCATTCATGACCCAGTATGCAAGAGTTCTGTTTTTAATTGATTTGCTGGCACTTATCAGAGTGGAGTCTGGTTAGAAAAGCACCAAAATGTGAATCTCGGAGAAGGTTGTTAACCATGGGCAAATCACTGCACCAGTAAGGTGGGAGGAGATCGGTGGTCCACACTGCATTTGTTGGAGGCCCTGGGATGAGAAAGGAATCAGTCAGCACAGCTTTGCCCTTATTTGTTGTTTAT